TGGAGGAGGTAGAGTGTCTGTCCAATCTGTCTTGTGAGGGTGGGACATGAAACCGATCCTTTGGGAAATCAGGCTATAGCCTTTATGTTTTCCTACCCCCAGCCCATCTCTTTGTCTTAGCATTGAGCCTGTGACCACTGCTGACCTATTCCGAGGGTAGCAGGGATGGTTGACCAATGGGAGAGCTGACAGGATGCCATGCAGAGGGCACTGTGAGGCCACTGGCAGCTAGAGGCCACCATTGGCCAAGCTGAGCACTAGCCACACTGTACCTGAGTCATCTGGGTTGGCCATGGGTGGCCTGGGATGGGGCATCCTGTGGGAGCCTTATACTGCTCTTGGTCACAGGTGGAGGATACAATTAGCCAGACGAGCCAGACGCTTCAGCTGTTGATTGAACATGACCCCGTCTCCCAGCGCCTGGATCAGCTGCGGCTGGAAGCCCGGCTCTCTCCTCACATGCAGAATGCCGAACACCCCCACACCCTCAGCACCCTGGATACCAAGGAGAATCTGGAGGGGACACTGAGGAGACGCTCCCTGAGGTGCCACCTCCCACTCTGGCTCTTTTCTGTCCCATGTCTGTCTCTCATGAAGCTGAGGTGGCTTTCAGAAGCCTGCAAAGTTAGGCAAGGCACCAGCTGGCCAGGGACAGACTATGAGGATTGTGCTGACCCAGCTGCCCCATGGGGATCACAGTTCATAGCCAGAGCCTGTGCATACCCAGCTATCTGCCAGGTTTCCTTAGAAACTGGAGGGTCAGGCTGTGTCCACTGAACTCCTAAGCTGGACAGGAGGCAGTGATACTGTTCCCTGAAGGGCAGCATGGCCTGTGGTGGAGCTCAGAGCCTGGAGTTAGGGGCACATATAGGGTTGAAAAAAATTGTATAGAAGGACTTTGAAAACAAGAAAGCAAAAGATGAATGAAAGTTCTTTAGACTTGAGGGACCAATAAGCCCAAACCCCAGATTCTGCCAGGTCCATGGGTGGGAAGGAGTAGTTGCCTTGAGTGGAAGCCCCAAGTAGGGAGACTTACAGAAAATAAGTCAAGAGCACTGGCTCCCAGGCAGAAATACTGATAGCCTACTGGGGCTTCAGGCTGAGCTCCTCCCTTCACAAATCACTTCATCTCTCTGAGTCTGTTTCTGCATCTGTGAAGTGACAAAGGTGGCTGTCTCACCAATTATGTTAGGATTAAATGTGGAAAAGGACATAAAGTTGTATAGTGCTGCCATAGGGACGGCGTTCAGTAAACATGACGCATTCTTAGTATCACTAAGAATCAGGTTCTTGGCCAGGTACGATGGCTCATGCCTATTATCCCAACACTTGGGAGGCCTAGGTAGGAGGATGGCTTGAGTGCAGGAGTTTGAGACTAGCCTGGGCAACATGGTGACACACTGTCTCTACAAAAAAAATGTTTTTATATTAGCTGAGCTGGGCACTATGGCTTACACCTGTAATCCCAGCATTTTGGGAGGCCAAGGCCAGAGGATTTCTTGAGGTAAGGAGTTCAGGAGCAGCCTGGGCAGCATTCCTGTCTCTACAAAGAATAAAAAAGTTAACTGGGCATGCTAGTGCATGCCTGTAATCCCAGCTACTCAAGGCTGAGGCAGGAGGATTGCTTGAGCCCTGGAGTTCAAGACTGCAGTGAGCCTTGACCACACCACTGTACTACAGCTTGGGCAGCAGAGTGAGACCTTGTCTCGAAATAAAAAATTAAAAAAATGATTTTTTATCCACCCTCCTCACCAAACAAACTGAGTAAGTAAGCTGGGGCCCTCTCAGCTGGCATGTGTTGGAAACAGTGCCCACTGCTCAAATTGCTCCCCTCACTCCCGCTGCCTCTTGGCCTTGGTCAGTATGATAAAATTAGTGGGAGGCAGGGCACCAGAGGACAGAGAAGGGCTGGAAATCCATGGCCTGGAAAAGGGAAGATTTCGGGGTGGCCAGATATCTGTAGAGCCACCATGCAGAGGAGGCGGTCACCTAAACTTGTGTGCCCTTGTGGGTGTGGTCAGCAGAAGGCAGAGCCAAAGAACAAGGGTAAGTAAACCTGTAGGGCAGGACAAGCCAAGAGCCATTCAGCTTCAGTCCTCTCTGGGTAGCCCAAGTAAAACAGTAGCAGACCATGCACCGAAGAGAAAGTTCACAGGGCAGTTTACCTGCAGTGCTGTGGACTTCAACCTTCTTGTCCCTTCTTCACTAAGTCAAAATAACAGTCATTGACCATGACTATAATGGACTGCTTTTGAAAATATAAACATAGTGGCTTTATTGCTATAAAAATCATTTATGCTTGGCCGGGCACGGTGGCTCAAGCCTGTAATCCCAGCACTTTGGGAGGCCCAGGCGGGTGGATCACGAGGTCAAGAGATCAAGACCATCCTGGTCAACATGGTGAAACTCTGTTTCTACTAAAAATACAAAAAATTAGCTGGGCATGGTGGCGCATGCCTGTAATCCCAGCTACTCAGGAGGCTGAGGCCGGAGAATTGCCTGAACCCAGGAGGTGGAGGTTGCGGTGAGCGGAGATTGCGCCATTTCACTCCAGCCTGGGTAACGAGAGTGAAACTCCGTCTCAAAAAAAAAAAAAAAAAAAAAAAATCATTTATGCTTATCATCTTAAAATTCAGGAGATATGAACAGGTACAAAGATGTGCAAAATATCATCCAATATCCCATTTGGTGGCCAGGCACGGTGGCTCGTGCCTATAATCCCAGCACTTTGGAAGACAGAGGCGGGCAGATCACTTGAGGTCAGGAGTTTGAGACTAGCCTGGCCAACATGGTGAAACCCCATCTCTACTAAAAATATACAAGTCTGGGCACAGTGACTCATGCCTATTAATCCCAGCACTTTGGGAGACCAAGGTGGGTGGATCACCTGAGGTCAGGAGTGTGAGACTAGCCTGGCCAATATGGTGAAACCCCATCTCTACTAAAAATACAAAAATTAGCCAGGTATGGTAGCGCGTGCCTATAGTCCCAGCTACTCGGGAGGCTGAGGCAGGAGAATCACTTGAACCTGGGAGGTGGAGGTTGCAGTGAGCTGAGCCCATGTCATTGCACTCTAGCATGGGCAACAGAGGGAGACTGTCTCAACCAAAAAAAAAAAAAAAAAACAATAATTAGCTGGTCATGGTGGTACATGCCTCTAGTCCCAGCTACTCAGAAGGCTCAGGCACAAGAATCACTTGAACCGGGAGACAGAGGTTGCAGTGAGTCAAGATCACATCACTGCACTCCAGCCTGGCTGACAGAGTGAGACTGTCTCAAAAAAAAAAAAAAATCCCATTTGCTCATTTTTTGGATACTAGTATAACTATCACTCTAAACCAGTTAGTACCTTAAGTCAAGCAGATGTGGGAGATGGTGAATTACCATCTACAGTGTTGTCATGTATGTCATATACTGAGCATTATAAGCTAGTAGAATCTAGTTAATTGTTTTGTGTGTGATGTATGCAGAGTTCCCATTTTGAATGTGTTTTTACTATGGTTAAATAAATGACTGATGTCTACAACCCCATAATGACACATCTGATGTAAAAGCCCCTGTTCCCCAATAATGACATCTAAATTATAGACATTGGAATGGACAGGAGCCCCTAGGTTCCTTCCTCCAGGGTTTTTTGGTGATCTCTGAGGACTGTGCATCCCTATTCCCATCTTTCCTCATCTTCAGGCGCAGTAACAGCATCTCCAAGTCCCCTGGCCCCAGCTCCCCAAAGGAGCCCCTGCTATTCAGCCGTGACATCAGCCGCTCAGAATCCCTTCGTTGTTCCAGCAGCTATTCGCAGCAGATCTTCCGGCCCTGTGACCTAATCCACGGGGAGGTCCTGGGGAAGGGCTTCTTTGGGCAGGCTATCAAGGTGAGCGCAGGCAGTAATTCCTTTGTTTTTCTTCCCCCAGCCCCCCTCTCTCACTGTCTTTTGGGGATTTCTCATCACTTGGCCCCACCCCATACCCTGCAGGACATCAGGCCTCCTTCCTGGCTTTGGGTCATGGTGTGAGAGGTATCCTTCACACTCATCCAGGCCACCTAAGGTCAATGTTGCTGTTACAGTGAGCTTGTGGACCTGGAGATCTAGCTTGGGTTGAGCTGTGCTTGTGGTCCTCCTGCCACCAGTCAGTGGGTGTTTTATTAGGTGCCCCCAGGCCTTAGTACCGGTCATGCTACAAGGAGCACACAGGGGAATGGCTCCTGCCTCCCTGGGGAACAGTCTCGGGGACTAACCTCTCTCTTTCTTTCCTCCTCCTCCTCTGCTGAGAACTGGGAGGGGGGGTCAGGTAAGCCATGTGTCTCAGCTTGTGGGGGCAGCGGGGCTGGAGAGTTCACCCCTGACCCACCCAGCTCCCTGGTGCATGTCTTTGGCACTGACCTTCCTGCCCCCAGACTTCTCTCTTCACTCAAGAGACTCACTCCTGTGCCAAATGACCAGAGCCCCTGCTTGGCTTGGCACTGTCCCCTCCTGCCTCCTTCCCCACTTCGCTTTTCTGGGTTCTTGCCTCTCCTCCATGCATGCCCAGCTCTCCAGGAAAGAGGGTATGCTTCCATCTGAATACCCTGTTGCTCCATGCTGCATCTTCCACACATTAACTCTGTCAGTCTGACCCGGCTCAGTATACCCCTCAAAGGGTGGGATGTCAGTTGCATAGATTTTTCTCAAACAGTTCTCCAGAAACTGCCTCTGGTCTCAGCACCATTAATAGTTACCCTCTCTATAGGTGACACACAAAGCCACAGGCAAAGTGATGGTCATGAAGGAGTTAATTCGATGTGATGAGGAGACCCAGAAGACTTTTCTGACTGAGGTAAGAAGATGGAGGGGGACTAGGAGTTTGGTGTCACCATTGGAAGAGGGAAGACCTTACAAATAATGTCTTCAAGAGGAAATATAGTTTGGATCACTGTCTGAAAGACTAAGCAAAAAAGAGCACTAAAGGAATATCCCCAGTCCCTCTAAATGAGAGCATAATTATTTGTTTTTTTTTTTTTTTGAAATTTTAAGGTCAGTTTATTAAGTTCAATGATGAAAGCTATCAGGAGAATATTCTCCTGAAAATAATTTTTTCCTAGAAAAAAAGAAAGGAAAATCAAAACCCTCTGAGCATAGCCACAGATGCTGTGGCAGTCAAGCCTCTCTGCAGATGGGGACAGTCCATTAATCAGCTGAGTCACTCTCTGGGTCAGCAGGATTGTCGTCGGGATCATCTTCATCATCCTCCAGCTCCAAGTCGCCCATTTCTTGGAACAAAGACTCATCTACCTCCACATTGTTTCCGGCATCCTCCAAGAACTGGATATCAGATGTGTCAAGATTATGATCTGTTCCAAATAGTTGTTTCCCACTTAATTTATTTTTTCCTGCTTGTTCTTCTTCTTTCATCCTTTTCTTTTTAATTTCCAAGAGTTCTACATCAAACTTGGCCTTCCAGTTTAAGAAATTCTCAATTGTAACTGGAGTGCCATGGAATAATTGCTTTTCAGCTTCTTCTGCTTCTTTTTCTTTTTGTTTCTTTTCTTCTTCTCTTCTAGTTTTTATCTGATCTACTATTTCATTTAATTTTTCTTGCACAGCTGTCACTAGAGTAAAGATCATCACCATACCAAGATTTTCTTCAGCCTGTAATGCTAGTAATTTTAAAATGTCTGAGATATCATTATCTTCTAGATTTTCCTGAGAGAATATTTCATAAAGGGGCGCTTCATCTGGGTATTTTTCACTGTATGTAAACTTGAGGGTAGTCTGGACAGTTTCATCATTTTCTCCAGCCTCAGATGTCACAGTAATGGTGAAGCTGGGTGGACTTTCTGATAATACTTAGCAGGACCTTGTCAAGTGAAGCACTACTGAAGGAGAATGTGGTATCAGGAGAGTCCATTTATATTTTGGAAGACTAGTTGTTAGGAGGGTTGGATCAATGTGCAATCAAGCTGTGAAGGAGTCAGGGTAGATGGACTCCAGAGCCTCCAGCTCGTTGCGCTGCTTCTCGCCATAATCTGTCATCGCGGCCCTTGCTCTTGCCCATGGATTGCCCAGACACCTAGGCGGCGCGCAGCTGCCGCGACAGCTGCCGCGCTGGGAGAGCAGGCTGCAGCCAGGCGGGCGCAGGCGCAGAGTCCTGGCTGGAAGGCTCAGGGCCCAAAGCCAGGCCCGGCCTGCTTAGCAACAGCTCCGCGCCGGCCTCCGCCATAATTATTTGTTCAACGAACACTTACTAAAGGCAGCACAAACTGGGTACAAGGGATGCAGTAACAAAAGATAGATGTTTCAGAGGAGCTCTCAGATTATGAGGGTGATGGACATGAAAACAGACCAATTTAGTACAGCTCTGTTGTAATCCTTACCTAAACACCCTGCTAAGGGAACCTGGAGTGGAGCTCCCTGAGCACTCAGTTCCTTGAGCATTTACAGTTTTCACCACCTCTCCCAAGTTACTTCATGGAGCAACTTCAGTTGGCGACACCTGTGGTCCAAGTACTGCCCTCCAGAGGCCACTCCCACCACTGTTTCCCCAGTGCAGTTCCTAGAAAGGCAGGATGCCAAGGGTGAGGCCTGTGAAGCTATCTCCGTCCATATGGTGGTGTTCTTCCCTCATCTTGGTCTTAGACCCCTGCCATATCACAAGATAGGCGGTAGGAGAGGCAGGTGGTAACACTTGTCAAGCTGATTCCCTGGAGGGAAGGTATAAGGAAGACATAGTAAGATGTTAACCACCAGCTTTTCTTGGCTTACCCCACCCCCAGGTGAAAGTGATGCGCAGCCTGGACCACCCCAATGTGCTCAAGTTCATTGGTGTGCTGTACAAGGATAAGAAGCTGAACCTGCTGACCGAGTACATTGAGGGGGGCACACTGAAGGATTTCCTTCGAGGAATGGTGAGCACAACACCCCATAGTCTCCAGGAGCCTTGGTGGGTTGTCGGATACCTCTACTACCACTACCCTGGGAATTTAAAGGCCAGAGGGGCCCTGCTTCGCCCCCAAAGGACCATGCTGGGCGGGACTAGGCATAGACAGGAAGGCTTCACTGGGAGACCATATTGACCCTAGGGTCTGGACCACGAGTGGGACAGGGCTTAACAGCCTCCGACAGTCATTCCCCCCATCCTGCAGGATCCATTCCCCTGGCAGCAGAAGGTCAGATTTGCCAAAGGAATCGCCTCCGGAATGGTGAGTCCCACCAACAAACCTGCCAGCAAGGCGAGAGTAGGGAGAGGTGCAAGAATTGTGGGCTTCACTAGAAGGTAGAGACCCCTTCCTGGACAACTTGTGTGGGGTGGGTCAGCAGCTATTCATTGTGTTTGTCTGTGTCACTGAAACTACCTCTAGCCAACTGTTCTTAGCTCACAGCCCTACTCTCAAAGAATTACACATCTCTAAGGGCAAACGGCATGGACAAGGCAAACTGGAGAGGCAAACTGTAGCCTGAGATGGCCTGGCCTTGCTGTTCCAGGTATCCAGACACTGAGGGCCCTTGAACCAAGTAGAGCACCTCACTGCCTAGGAAATCAGTGAAGGGGAAATGAGTTCTCGCAGAGCCCTGAAGGGTCAGAATTGGATAAAGTTCCTATTGGCAGAGAGGTTCCAAGATTGAAGTGACAGGAGCAAAGACCTGGGAGGAAAGAAGAGAAAATCATCTATTTTACCTGGAAACAAATGATTCAGATCAATCATAGCAATAACAGCAGCTGACAAGTACTGAGTGCTCTCTATATGCTAGGCACTGAGCTGAGGAACTAAAATGCAGGTGCATGTTTATTCCTCATGACAACCTTGGTTTCCAGATAAGAAGCTGGGCTGGAAAGGGACAGAGCTGGAATTGGGTTAATCAGTCTGATCACCAAGTCTGAGACTTAACCACTGCCCTTCATATAGGGGTCCATGAAGATAGTAGTAGTCTGGAACAGTTTGGGGGTACGTTAAGGTCCCTGTGTTTTAAATTAAGGAGTCTGGAGTATATTTAGGAGACAGATGTAAAAGAGTTTTTTGGTTGATTGGTTTTTGGGTTTTGTTTTGTTTTGTTTTTCCCTGTTTCTGGGGCTTGAATCAGGAAGGGTTTTTGTTGTTGTTTTGAAACAGGATCTTGCTCTGCCACGCAGGCTGGAGTTCAGTGGCATGATCATGGCTCACTACAGCCTCGACCTCCAGGGCTCAAGCAATCCTCCTGCCTTAGCCTCCCGAGTAGCTGGGACTACAGGTGTGTACCACCACACCTAATTTTTTTATTTTTTTATTCTTCTTTTTTGTAGAGACAGGTTCTCACTTTGTTGCCTAGGGTGATCTCAAACTCCTGGGCTCAAGCATTCCTTCTTCCTCAGCCTCCCGGAGTGTTGAGATTACAGGTGTGAGCCACCATGCCTGGGAGGAAGATTTTTTTTTTTTTTTTTTTTTGAGACGGAGTTTCGCTCTTGTTACCCAGGCTGGAGTGCAATGGCGCGATCTCGGCTCACCGCAACCTCCGCCTCCCGGGTTCAGGCAATTCTCCTGCCTCAGCCTCCTGCGTAGCTGGGATTACAGGCACGCGCCACCATGCCCAGCTAATTTTTTGTATTTTTAGTAGAGACGGGGTTTCACCATGTTGACCAGGATGGTCTTGATCTCTTGACCTCGTGATCCGCCCGCCTCGGCCTCCCAAAGTGCTGGGATTACAGGCTTGAGCCACCGCGCCCGGCCGGGGAGGAAGATTTTTAAGCAAGAAAGTTTAAGAGCTGTGCTTTTTCCAAAGTGAATCTGGGCAAGTATGGTGGCTCACGCCTGTAGTACCAGCACTTTTTTGGGAGGCTGAGGCGAATGGATCACTTGAGGTCAGGAGTTTGAGACCAGCCTGGCTAACATGGTGAAACCCTGTCTCTACTAAAAAAAAAAATAAAAGGCCGGGCACAGTGGATCATGTCTGTAATTCCAGCACTTTGGGAGTCCACGGCGGGTGGATCACAAGGTCAGAAGATTGAGACCCTCCTGGCCAACATTTGAAACCCCATCTCTACTAAAATACAAAAAATTAGCCGGTATGGTGGCACATGCCTGTAGTCCCAGCTACTCAGGAGGCTGAGGCAGGGGAATTGCTTGAACCTGGGAGGCAGAAGTTGCAGTGAGCTGAGATTGCGCCACTGCACTCCAGCCTGGCAACAGATCAAGACTCATCTCAGGCCGGGCGCGGTGGCTCAAGCCTGTAATCCCAGCACTTTGGGAGGCCGAGGCGGGAGGATCACGAGCTCAAGAGATCGAGACCATCCTGGTCAACATGGTGAAACCCCGTCTCTACTAAAAATACAAAAATTAGCTGGGCGTGGTGGTGCGTGCCTGTAATCCCAGCTACTCAGGAGGCTGAGGTAGGAGAATTGCCTGAACCCAGGAGGCGGAGGTTGCGGTGAGCCGAGATCGCGCCACTGCACTCCAGCCTGGGTAACAAGAGCGGAACTCCGTCTCAAAAAAAAAAAAAAAAAGACTCATCTCAAAAAAAAAAAAAAAAATTAGCTGGGCCAGTGGTACATGCCTGTAGTCCTAGCTACTCAGGAGGCTGAGGCAGGAGTATCACTTGAACCGGGTGGTGGAAGTTGCAGTGAGCCAAGATCACACTACTGCACTCAAACCTGGGTGACAGAGAGAGACTTCATCTCAAAAAATATATATATATTAATCTGATATGGTTAGTAGGTTCTGGTAGAATGGGGAGGGTCTCAGGCCATGGAGACCTGCATAGAGGAATAATGAAACATTTCAGATTTCTGAATTAAGGTAGTAGCTGTGGGGACTGGAGCCTGGGGCAGGGTGGAGTTAGAATGGAGAGACTGGTGAGGCAGGTTGGAGTCAGAATGGAGAGACTGGTTGGCAATGAGGGAATAGGAGGAGGAGGAGGAGGAGTTAGAGTGGCTTGAGGTATCACTTACCAGACGTTTGGGTGATGGGGGATGGCAGGGATGGTTGAGGAACCGGTTTGGGAAGAGCTGGCATTGATGCCTTCTATTCTCCTAGCAGAACCTATCAACATCTTCTAGGCAAGAAGCTGACTCCATGAGACTAGAGCTTAGAGAGAGGCTGCCAGTCACCCAATCTTCAGAGAAGGAACAGCTGGAGCTGTGGGACAGAAGAGGCATCCATGTGGCTGGTCGGGGACAGGGGGTGTCTCAGCTTGTGAAGTGGAGAGGGCTTTGAGCAGGGCTGACACTGAAAAGACTGGAAGGAAAAACCAGACACACAAGAGACTCAGGAGCAGGTAGCATAAGAAAGGTGTGGACAGTCTTTGAGGAGCACATCCTCAGGCACGCACGCAGGCAGGCATGCAAGTCATGAGCTACAGCGATTCAGCTCCCTGGGTGTGTGAGCAGCTCCAGAAACCTAAGGGATGTAAGCAGTATTGCAGGGGGCTGGAGAGCAGAGAGTAGCTCCTTCTACATTTACAAGGGAAGGGAAGGAGAAAGGAAGTTGCTCCTCAGAGTGTCAAGAGCCAGTGGTGGAGGCCTGGAGAGGGGACATAAATAGAAATTTGTTTACAAACATTTGGGTAAGAAGAGAAAGCTTAAAGTTTAGACAGTGGGGAAGGTGGAGTCTTAGGGGTGGTGAATGTCAGAAAGACAGAGCTAGCTGGAGCAAGAAGAAGTCACTTCTCTGTTGCAGGCAGGAAGGATCCAGAGTGGCTGAAGCCAGAGACTAGGAGAGTAGGGAGGAGGGAGCAGCCTGGATCTAAGTAAAATGCATAGAGGTGGAGGAAATGCTACAAGGGCCAGGGTTCTGTGAAGTTGGGGACATTAGGAGAGAGCAGTGAGGGCTTTGGCCAGCCACTGTGCTGGTGATTGGTGAACAAAAGGATGGGCAGGAGATGGCAGCAGGGAGGAAGAGAAAGTCCAGGCTTCCTGTTGGTTTTGGGACAAGGGAGTGGCCAGAGGAGGGCCTGCCCTGTTGTCCAGGTTGGGTTCTGAAGCTGGGTGGGCATGGCCTGGGAGGAGAGTATCTGTGGCCCCCAGTTCCAGAATCAGGGTCTAGTTGATTTGCTGGCCCTTTAGCCTCAGCTTGTGCTTTTGTTCCAGGCCTATTTGCACTCTATGTGCATCATCCACCGGGATTTGAACTCACACAACTGCCTCATCAAGTTGGTATGTCCCACTGCTCTAGGCCTGGCCTCCAGGGTCTTATCCTTCTTGGATTCCTTGTCACAAAGGAGGCTGACTTGTCCCCTCTGGCTAGAAGGGCAGAGGTGTTGTCTAGGA